CCCAACCCCCCCCCCCCAATTCAAGCACCTTGTGTTAAAAGATAGGATAGGTTAAGTGGGGAACAGTGCCCCCAGCTGAGAGAGGGCGGAGAGGGCCACCTACAGAGTCGATCAGTGCAGCAGGGAGTAGCCCTCTGCTGTGGTGTTAGATTAGTGGTTCTTAACCTCGTTGGAGGTAATAAACCCCACCAGTTTCATATGTACATTCACCGAACCCGGCAGTGATGACCAAGCGGGCCGAACCCCTGAGACTGTCTCACTGAAGCCCTGGGGTTCTAATCAAACCCAGGTTAAGAACCACTGCGTTAGATGGTTGGTTGGTCCATCAGTGACAGGTGTAGCCGCAGTTAAGGTCATTAAATTTATGTAAACATTGCTATGCATAATTTTATCAATTGATTATTACTATTAGAGTGTATTTATGTAAACATTGCTATGCATAATTTTATCAATTGATTATTTTATATATATTTTATATATTTTATATATTTATTATAAGTCAGTAAGTGAGACGTTTATGGTCGTCTGCCATGAAAGAAAAAAAGACTCACCTTAAACAGGAACCAGAAAGTAGTTTAACGTCAACTGGATTTCAAGCGTCATGCCTTTGGATACACATCTGCAAGCTCTCGGAAAACATTCCAAATTCAATACGTAACCAATGTCGAGGACAGACATTGGCGATGAGCATCAACCAGGCTTTGGTTCTTCAATTGGTTTTATACGGTTGTCTGCCATGAACAATATTGACATCATCGTCAAGCTAGCAAGTATCTCATCCCGCAACCTTTGGAGCTTTTTTTTTTAATTCCTTTCTTACTTTCTGACTGGGGCAGTGGTGGCTTAGTGGTTAAGGAAGCGCACTTAGGTCCGGAAGGCTTCAGGTTCGAGTCCACCAGCTGCCAAGTTACGCTTAAAGCTGCCCCACTGTTCACTGGTTAATGTAGTAATTCACTTCTACTGTGTTTTCCAGATCGTGAACCTGATCGAAGAAACCGGACACTTTCACATCACAAACACTACGTTTGACTTCGATCTTTGCTCCTTGGACAGGAGCACCGTCAGGAAACTCCAAAGTTACCTGGAGACCTGCGGCCTGTCCTGAGGACACTGAGCAGCTGGCTGCTGGATCTCTGTCTCCACTGACTTATGACATTTTTTCGGAATTTAAAAAAAAAAAAAAAAAAAGAAAGAAAATGTTGTGTATGCAATGCAAAAAGCCCCCACCATGGCCGGGATCCGACTGCTGTGCGTCCTATGGGACCGAGCTCTGGACCCGTCACCGAGACCAAAGCCAGGAGTGGTGGGTATGAGCCCTGTGGATCAGGAGATCACCCAGAAAGCCTTGAAAACTTCACTTGATTTAATAAAAAAAAGAAAGAAAGAAAAGGAAATGAAATGGCGACCGTGTTGCTCTTAATGAAGGTGCATATTGTTGTATCATATATGTTTCTCCATTTTTTTTTTTATACCTTGTGACAAATGCATGGTCAACATTGCCTTACAACATTGTGTTTTATTTATTGAATTTATTTCGCAGGTGTGTGTGCGCGTGTATTTGAAACAGCGAAAAGAAGGAAAAAAAAAAAAAAAGAAAAGAAAACGCAGCAGAATGAGACTTTTCTTAAAGCACTTCACAACACAACACACTGGCGTCACAGTACAGCACCCGCAACTTACAGGCTACATGTGTGTTGTTGGGGGATTTGTTTAAATCTGCGGATAACATAAGGAAAAAAAAGAAAAAAATTTTTTTGAAAGATTTGGCCATAAAGTGAAAATGATCATTTAAAATCCTCATCCCACCAAGATGACATGATGTTTGGACTTCACATTTAGCATTTCGTCATCTGTCGTCGTAAAAGCTGCTGAAGATGTTGCTTATCAAACGCTAACTGTAGGTGGACGTCAACGCGAACCTGTTGCTGCTTTGTCTTAAACCAATCATTGCTCAGTCTTGCAGATTTTATTTTGTTGTAAAATCACGACGTTAAAGAGTAATTTTTTGTCAATAAACACCTGCAGATTGATAGTTGAGAAGGTGTAAAAACTGACCGTATCAAATTAGCAAACAGTGGTTTCCAGTTTCCAGCGTTATGCACATGTAGAACATGTGCTTTTAAAAACAAACTGACTTTCAGAAACACTAACTATCTATGAAACTTCAGTCTAATCTTGAAGGAGATCCACATGGTCTTTGTTTTTTTATTTTGTTTTTTTCTGATGCGACTGCAGAACCACTACAAATACGAACTGCAGTAATACGAAGTGTTCGGTGGCGTCATCGACATATACACAACGGCATTAAAATACAATTAAACCTCTACCGTGTCGCCGTTATCATTCAAGGTGAAAGCGGAAAAGATGTTTACCGTGAAATGCTCATGTCTAAACACTAACCGTTGCTTAACGCAAAAATGTTTATTTTTTTATCTTTGCATTTTTAAAAAAATGGCTATGAAAACAGACCAGCTCTGTTGCCAAAATTATTTATTTGATCAATTTTTCATCAAGTGTAATTTCACAAACTCAACCACAGACGTTCAAGACGCGTCGCTACGTCTTTCTGTAGCTCTTGATTTTTTGATTTTTTTTTTCAGAAAATAAATTTAATACAATGTCATATTCCTACATGATTGGTTTTAAATCTAAAAAAAGTCTTTTTTTTTTCCTTTTTTTTTTTAAGAAAGTTAACTTGAGTACAATTTACAGGCTGAAGTCTGTATCTACGTTCATTCCACTAAATTCAACACAGGCTACAAACACATTCACAGACTCTTTATTCACCGACGTCATGTGGCGGCAGTTTTTTTTTCGCAACTTCTGCTTAATTTTGTTTATCCATTCGTCCAAAGGAAATCATTCAACAAAAAATGTCTGGAGGAGAAATGGTTTGACTCTGCCGTTTTGAAATGTTTGGGTTAAATCCTGAAATGCAAGGTTCATTGGGATGTTTTTGACTGACAGATTCTGTTACGGGTGTTAAAAAGGCAAAAAAAAAAAAAAAAAAAAGCAGAATCTTTTATTTATTTGGAGGGAGTTGGTGTTTAGTCAAAACTCTACATTGTTTTCTCTGAGCAAGAATTCTCTGATTTTTTTTTTTTTTTTTTAAAGGACAAACTGACACTCCTTTTCCAAATGACCTGTAAGGGTTTTTCTTTCTTAGCCAGTTTTCTGTCTTATGGTTTCTTGTGTACTTTGAGAAATGACAATAAATATTCTGTATGTTGTGCAGATGAGTTATTAAACATCCATGGTGTCAGTCTTGTCTTGGAAAAAAGAAATTAAAGAAAGTAATGCAAACGCTCAACAAAAAAAACGGATTTTAATTGAAAAAACAAAAAGCAGTTCTTGTTTGTGTTAAAATTGTATAATAAAACTGTCAAAACAACAATCATCGGCTGCGCAGTAAAAGTCATCATCACCTTTCTCGTCATCATTTTACTGCGCATAAATATGGTGTCACTACTTGGCGGAAATTCAGTTCTCGCGGCAGGCCTTGGAACCTATCTACCGTGATAAACGAGGGATCTAAAATATGCCACAAGGACACAAAATCAAAAAAAATTCACGGGCCAGATTATGGTGATTTGTGGGCTTCAAGTGGCCCCGGGGCCAATAGTTTGACACCCTTGAACCAAAAGCAAGAAGCTGTTTTAAAATTTTTTAAATATTAGATTCACTGTGATGTGGTTCAGAGGTTCCATGGACGTCGTTTGTACAACATGGTTACGTAGCTACATAGACTGGAAAATTCCACTACGTGCAGCGTCAGGGTGGGAAAACCACCTGCATGTTCTTATCTGTCAGAGAACTGCGCCTCAGAATCCAGACAGAGTCTATGTCTTGGTGCGGCCTTGTGTCCTTTTGACGACCTCGTAGCTCAGTTCACCGCAGCTGCTGTGAAATGCGCGAAGCTAATGATAATTAAGCAAATTGTACGTAAAATTATAAATGACATAAATGTAAGAATACAAACATTTCCATCACAACCGGCCGGAGCAAAGACAAAAAATATTTAGTGTTGGTCCAAGTCACTTAAATTTTCCATTATCGTCCAACTGGAAGAATGTCTTCACGTAGAAAACATTTTCATCATCAAAAGGACGTGAATTTATGAATTTTTGTTCAATCGCATGTGAAAAAGACAGTTAATCTCTGTAAGTGTCAGTTGGTATGTCACATATAAATATTTCTAAATATTTGTTTTGACATCGAAGACAGATAAAGTCAAACGAAGGGCCTCGTTTTGTGTGTTTGTGTGTGTGTGTGTGTGTTATCCTGGTTTAGCTACACTTGTGGGACCACTGTCGTCGTGGGGACGTTTTGTAGGTCTCCACCGAGTAAGTGGGTATTTTGAGGTTTCAGATGTAGTCAGAGTTAGGAATAGAATTAGGATCAGATTAGAGTCAGAAGAACGGTTAAGTTAAGGCATATATTTGTTGAAGTTAGGTGAGAGGCTAGACCAGGCGGGGGAAAACATTTCTATCCGTGGGGCACAATTGTCCTAAAATTGAACGGGGGGGCCGAGTCAGGAGCAGACAGATGCAGCGTTAGGGTGAACTAAGATAAATGACATGTTAAAGTCATGCATAAAGGGTAAAATGCTAAAATGCTTTAATCATTTTCTACGCCATCTATTGGCGAAACGTGGGCATTGCAGGGAAAAGGCAGAAGTATAATAATAATATAAATAAATTATATAATTTGGAAAAGTTTGGCGGGCCGGATTAAGTATCTGAACGGGACGCATGCGGCCCACGGGCCATAGTTTGCCCACGTCTGGAGTAGGGCATTATGTATATGTGGGGTCTCATGAACACCAAAAACCAGTGTGCGTGTGTGTGTGTGTAAAGCTTCAAATCAAACTGTCATGCTCTTTGTGAAACTGCTAATCATTCCCAGCAGCTTTTACTGGCGGTGGCCACAGAACCTTGAACATTTATTAGCTAACAGGGAGGATTACGACTAAACTCACTCTAAAGTTGTGGGAAAATAGTGAAGATGCCTCAGTGTCCCCGTCACCGTTGTCGAGACAAAGCCCTCATCGTTTCTTTCGCTCCACTTCAGTCGCTTGAATCCCACTCTGAGCCCCAGCTGTCAAAACCAAATGAAACCTGAGTGCAGAAGAAGACTTGGCGAGCGCACAGCATCCAGCTCAGTGTGTGCAGCATAGCACTGTAGCTGTTGTCTGCGTGAAGGGGGACTGATGGCCGGGCCTAAGCATAAACACATGGTGCTGTTGGTACAGTCGGTACGCCTGTTCCTAGAGAAAGCTTTAGTAAAATATATAAATCTCTCTTGTAACCTTGAACCTTAATATTGTTTTTTTTTTGTAGTCAAAGGTTTGTGTTTCCTTATCACAGTGGTTCTCAATTATTTTCATGCCACCACTACGCAGGAATTACGAGGTAGTGATGTTTTTCCTGGCCAAGTTTCTGCAGCGTTTAATTACCGTAATTTCCGGACTATTGAGCGCACCTCAATATCAGCCACACCCACTAAACTTAAAAAGTAAATAAAAATTGTACATATAGAGGCCGCGCTGCTCTATAGGCCGCAGGTGTCCACGTTATAACATGGAATATTTACACAGACAGACAGTGTCTGTAACATGGCTGGTTACACGTTAGCTCTTTCCTAACGTTGGCGCCCCGACCGTAGTTGGAATGCACAGGGGAGACTTAGTGATCTGCTCCAGGTCTGAAGCTAACATTAGCTCTGGGGCTAACTCCCTTCACTTTGTGCTTGTCCACAGCAGAGGTAAACAGAAACAGTGAAGTTGGGGTCTTTATTATCAGCCACTCCGACCACAACAGAACATAAACAGTGTTTTAACAGCTCCTGTATAACCAACTCACTCTTCAACATGACAGGGCTCAAACTGCTCTCAACTTTAGCTACCGTTCTCTCTCTTGCACGCCCCTTGCACATATACTCACACAGCCAATCACAGACAGCCATACGCTACTAGTATAACACACAGTAGCCTACCAAAAAAGTCATTGATTCCTAGAAATTTGTTAGCCCGTAAAAATCCATAAATTAGCCGCATCATTGTTTAAGCCGCAGGGTTCAAAGCGTATGAAAAAGTAGCGGCTTATAGTCCGGACATTACGGTAAACATATATGAGAGGGAATCATACATTGTTTCAGCAGTTACAGATTTTCCTTCTTGTAATATTTACAAACAAAGATTTATCTTGATTAATCGCAATTACAATTAATCGTGATGAATCACGGCTACCATGGGATTTAAATAAATAAATATATATATATATGTATATATATACATATATACATATATGTATGTGTATATATGTGTATGTGTGTAATGCAGTACTGTGCACTCGTATCCTGGACCATTGCATTACACCTCCATTTATAGCACCCTCGGCTATACGCGTTGATTTCGTGTGCGTACGTAATACAACTTCACTTTTTTTTAAAAAAACTATACCTTTTTTATATTTAAGAAAACTAAATCAATACATGTTGCAAAGTTAACAAATAACAAAACAAAAAACAAAATAGCCAAAAGATGTGTAAATCACATGCATGTAAACATCCCAGTTCTTCATGGAGTGGATGCCAAATAGTGTATCTTTGGATTTCATCCTTCATGGTGGGTGGTCTGGATGAAGAAGGAGAAGAAGAGCTGGAAGTCGTCCAGTTACTTCATTTAGTGTGGGCACAGAAGAAGAAGAAGGATCCTCACATGGTTCACATTGTGCACGTTAGCAGGCCCACACTGGAACAACCTGTTACTGTGTGACTGCAGGGCGAATGGTAAAAATGTCTCCGCTGAGACGTCGTCGGTGTCCGTCTCTGTTCCCCTAATATTTGGTCCTGCTGCTCATCTCGTCCTGTACTGCTTTATCCTGCGTTTAAATATATATATTAATATATATTGGAGTGACAATTACTGTTAAACAACTAACAAATAACCATAAATTCCATAAACTAACCATAGACTAGAGCGGGCTGTCAAACATTTGGTTCAGGGCCCACATACAACCTCATTGGATGTCAAGTGGGCCAAACCAGGAAAACCACACCATAATGAATTATAAATTACAATAAGGCCATGTTTTGTACCTTTGTTTTCATGCAGAGAAGTACACGTTTATTAGATCATTATAGTTATTTATTCATATTTAACTAAATAAAACGGGCCGGATTGGACACTCTTGTGGGCCGTTTTTAGCCCGCGGGCCGTATGTTTGACACCCCTGGACTAGAGATATAACACGTGAGACTGGTATAATAAGGTTTAAGGCCCAGTCTAGACTAGACTAAAGGCGACTTGCACAGACATCTTAAAATTTTCTTTTTCATTTAGGCTAGCTTAGCTTCCTTCAGGACTCCGTAGTATCCAACTAACTAAACTAAGTCTAAGCCACGTTCATGAAGGCTCCTTGGATGTCCTGGTTTAACTAATATAGATTAAGGAGTGATCCTGGCTTAACCTAAGCCGGCACAAAAACATGTTGCATATGTAAAGCAACATGTTTCCCATCTTTTTTTCTTCAGTAATATCCTAATAAGCCAAAGTTCAAATGAGTGGACTATTTTAACATTCCGTTCCTAGCTTTTCCCAAACAGTTGGTTTCCCAACAGAGTTGTCAACATCCATTACGGCACAAGTCAAGATTTGGCTTCAGTATAGATGATAGAAAGAGGCTTTACGTTCCTGTCCTTTCTGTCTGTCATTCACACTGAAACAGTGACAGGCACAGAACCTGCAATTATCATACTTTTACACTAGATCCGCCATGGGCAAACTAAGGCCCGGGGGCCGGATGCGGCCCGCCAAACTTTGTCAAATGATATAATTTATTTATATTATCATTA